ACGCTATGCAAGCTTGTTTGCTTTTAAAACTAGTTCTTTATTTTAATATAAAAGTTTTGCTTATTTATGTAACTGTTACAACTGTAACTGAATTTGCTTTTATATCTCACTTATTACAGTGCAACATCGTATGCAACTTATAGCGAGTTGTTGAAATCTAAAATTTTGTATTAATATTTGGTCATGATTTTAAGAGTCCATAAAGGAAGTATAATTTGCGGCTTTGTGCACACACACCCTCCCCACAACTGTAAGCTTAGCGCTTTGATAAGAGAGGTTATATGGACTAATTTTTTTTCCTGGTAACACCCGGGATTTTGTTTTCCCCTGAGATTTTGGTTTCTGGATTGAGACTTGATTTTTTTTGTTCTTCGATGTGTGTGTGGCTTACTGTAATTTCAATTATATTTTTCATCTATAATTGTAAGTAATTTCAATTTTTCAATGGAAAAACATTTTGTGGGTATAAAGTTGTTCATTATATTCCTTTGAAATTGTTTTAACGTCCATGGAATTAGTAGTGATGTTAATTTCTCCTTTTTTCCCTTGAGTAGTTTGGCTTTATATGCATTAATGCTATACATTTCTATCTTAGCGCTGCTTTCCTGGCCATCCTATAATAAGCTTATATTTTCATTTAATTTAGTGTTTTTGCTTTTTTTTCTCAGTTTCTCTTGAGATTTCTTTTACCAATAATACTATTTAGAAATTTGTGTTTGCTCTCCAAACGTTATATTTTCCAGCTCTTTCTGTCACTCATTTCTACTGGAAGTTCATTGTGGTCTGAAGGTCTGCTTTGTATTTCTATTTTTGGTAAATCTGTTGGGTTTCTTGTCCAGAAGGAGGTGTGGTTCGGTGAATGCTCTATGAAACCTTGATAAGACTGTCTTTGCTGTTGGGTGACATTCTATAAACGCCAACCAGAGTGACATGCTTGATGATTGTCTCCTTGCTGATACTGTGCCTGCTGGATCTGTCATGTATTGGTAGAGGGATGCTGAAGCCCTCAACTGTATTAGTGGGTTTGACAATTTCTTCTAGTTCTTTCAGTTGGCCTTATCTGTTTTGACACACTGTTTTCAGGTGTTGGGAGGTTTGGGATTCTTATATCTTCTTGGACAGAATTGATCCCCTTTATTGTGCAATGCCTCACTTTATTCCTGATTTTTAAATTAAAAAAATTTTTGTGTATCATAAATTTGTTTCATACCATTCAGAGTAAATCAAATTCCTACAGAGTGGCTGGTGGTTTTGAACTGCTGACTTTGTGATTACAGCCTAATGTGGAATCACTAAGGCTCCTATTTAGAATAGGTAAGGGATCTTTATTATCGACAATTATATTACACAAGTCTAGGCAAGGGCTTGTAAGATATAGCATATATTCTCGAGTATAAGCCGACCCGAATATCAGCCGAGGCACCTAATTTTACCACAAAAACCGGCATTAAAAATGTGCTGGAAAACTCGGCTTATACTCGAGTATATATGGTATTCCAGTTTCGTTTTTAGTTTATTTCAGTGAAGAATTAAAATTAGTTTTGGAATTCTGAGTTTTGAGGTTTTTGTTTTTGTTTTTTTGTGTGCCCCACATAGAAGTAGTGGTAGTACTAAATGGTACCAGTCTAGTGGTGTTTGAGTTTTACGTTTGCTTTTAAGAGTTACTAGAGAGGACACAGTATACTGTTATTACCTAGGCTCCCTCTAGGAGCCATTAGATGAGTGCTCTTTAAGAACAGGGAGGTTGCTGTCTGTCCCCTGCTGTGTCCTTTCACCCAGACCACTGGCTGGCACATAGGGGTTCAAAAAATATTTCCAGATTGAAAGATTATAGTTTATGGAAACTGTATTTAGTATATTAAAGAAAAGAAGATCCTTAAGTTTCACAAAATTACATTATCTAGGTTTTGTGATTTACCTTTTCTTTCTTTATTTTTAAATCCTTTTATTAGGGGTCCATACAACTCTTATCACAATCCATACATACTTCAATTGTGTAAAGCACATTTGTACATTCATTTCCTTTATCATTTTCAAAACATTTGCTCTCCACCTAAGCCCCTGGCATCAGCTCCTCATTTTCCCCCTCCCTCCTCGCTCCCCCGTCCCTCATGAACCCTTGATAATTTATAATTATTTTGTCATATCTTGCCCTGTCCAACATCTCCCTTCACCCACTTTTCTGTTGTCCGTCCTCCAGGGAGGAGGAGGTCACATGTAGATCCTTGTAATTGGTTCACCCTTTCCAACCCACCCTCCATTTACCCTCCCAGTATCGCCACTCACACCACTGGTCCTGAAGGGAACATCTGCCCTGGATTCCCTGCGTTTCAAGTTCCTATCTGTACCAGTGTACATCCTCTGGTCTAGCCAGACTTGCAAGGTAGAATTGGGATCATGATAGTGGGGGTGGAGAGGGGGGCCTAGGGGGAAGCATTTAGGAACTAGAAGAAAGTTGTATGTTTCATCGTTGCAACATGGCACCCTGACTGGCTCGACTCCTCCCCGAGACCCTTCTGTAAGGGAATGTCCAGTGGCCTACAAATGGACTTTGGGTCTCCACTCCGCACTTCCCCCCTCATTCACTATGGTATGATTTGTTGTTCTGATGATGCCTGATACCTGATCTCTTCGACATCTCGTGATCACACAGGCTGGTGTACTTCTTCCATGTGGGTTTTGTTGCTTCTGAGCTAGATGACCGCTTGTTTACCTTCAAACCTTTAAGACTCCAGACACTATATCTTTTGATAGCCAGGCACCATCAGCTTTCTTCACCACATTTGCTTATTCTCTCTCTTTGTCTTCAGCGGTTGTGTCAGGAAGGTGAGCATCATAGAATGCTATTTTAATAGAAGAAAGTATTCTTGCATTGAGGGAGTACTTGAGTGGAGGCCCAATGTCCTTCTGCTACCTTGATACTAAACCTATAAATGTAGGCTCATAGATCTATTTCCCCATCCTCATAAAATATATTTGCATATCTACATGCCTTTATCTAGACCTCTATAAATGCCCTTTGCCTCCCAGCTTGTTCCTCTATTTCCTTTGACTTTCCTCCAGTCCCCCTATCATGCTGAGTCCCCACCTGGGTTTCAGCAATTCCTCTTGATTGCATTACCCTTGATCACGCCCTACCAGACCTCCCACACCCTCCTTACCACCGATTTGGATCACTTGTTCCCTTGTCCTTGGGTTTGTTAACACCAATTTACCTTTTCTTTTATCCTTTTATTGACTGATTTATTCCCTTAGCATTTCCATTACATGATAAATTAAGAAGAGATGATATGTAATATAGTCGATCGCTTTTTTATGAAATGCTATTTAATTCTTTAAAACTTTAACTGTGAAGTAGTTAACTGTTTACAGAGCAGATAATAACAATTGACATAATTTTTGTTTTTCATTCATTGACTGCAACCCTCTCAAAAGAACCCTCACATATCCTACTTCCTCCCTTTATTTCCTATTTCCCTACTTCCTTGAGTAAATGCTGTCCTTTTGATCTCAAGTGGCTGAATATTCTAACATGGAGGTGAGTGACTATGAGCCATAGTTTTGGAGATTTGCTTAGGCTCCTAGAGGCTAGTAAGCCTAATCTCTTCTACGATGAAATATCAATTCTTATTAAAGTTTCCGGGCTATCTACCTTGAATGCCTATCACAAGTCAGGTACTGTTCTATTTGCTTGGAATGTTTACAACACTAAAATACTTAAGTGTTTATAAATAAACAGTAGTCACGTGGAAATCATAAAACAACACCCAGAAGTAGAGGGAATAGAATAATAAACTCTTATGAACCTATCGATATTTTGTTTTTCTGTTTTCTTGTTTGATTTTTGGCAGAGGGTGAGGTGGAATATTTTAAAGTAAATCCTCAAGATATTCTTTCACCATAAATATCCGAGTGACAGAGGGTGGAGGGAAGGTGGGATACAAAGGGGGAACCGATCGCAAGGCTGTACATATAACCCCCTTCCTGGGGGATGGACAACAGAAAAGTGGGTGAAGGGAGACGACGGACATGACAAAATAATATTTTATAAATTATTAAGGGTTTTTGAGGGAGGAGGGGCCTGGGAGGGAGGGGAAAACTGAGGAGCTGATACCAAGGGCTCAAGTAGAAAGACAGTGGCTTGAAAATGATGGCAACAAATGTACAAACGTGTTTGACATGATGGATGGATGTATGGGTTGTGATAAGAGTTGTATGAGCCCCCAATAAAATGATTCAAAACAAAACAAAACACACAGATACAGTATCATTCCACATACCACTGGATCGATTCTGACTCCTGATGACATTATGTTTGTCAGAGTTAAACTGAGGGCTTTTGATGGATGCTTTTTCAGAAGTAGATCTCCAGACCTTTCTTCTGTTGCCTGGAAGGTTGCAGGTTCAAGTCTACTGAAAGGTTGTTATAACATTATGTTACCAGCATAACAGCAAACATCCATCGCTGCCAAGATTTAATAATGGCTTAATATAGAACTCTGTTCAGATTTCCTTGTGAGATTATTTACATTTGGGATGTTTGAATCAGGTTCCACACAAATCTTGTCATTTTTAAAGGTGATGTTCTTTTAAAAAGAACATTCAGCAGTGTGAACCGATTTAGTATACGCTAGTATAAGCCTTTCTATGAGATCAATGTGTTTTGATAGCCAGGCTTTGGAATTTAGTTTTGCATGTCTGTACAGGAGATGTCACAAATTTCTACACTTTCTCATTTACAAATGTCCTAGGAAATGTTTTTCGTAAATGGAAAAAACATGTAAAGCACCTCAGTTTTCCAGAAGCTTAGAAAAATGTGAACAGATTCAAGAAGGATCAGTTTGCTATACAACAAAGATCCCTGGACACAATTTGGAACCTACTTTTGTAAGGACTATTTGTATAAAGTTACAAAGTACATTTCATCTCTCCATTGAACAAGGGCTGGTGTCTTCAGTCTCTTTTAGTTCTTAATTTACATTTATGCTTGACCTTAACAGGATTCCCCCAGTTGGATTGGCGGACCCAATGAACCATTGACTGGCTTTACGTGGCGAGGAGGTTGTGAAAGAGAAACAACAGGCATACAAGTGTGGAGTGAAGTGTTTGTCATCGACAGACCTGATGGGACCAAGGTGAGACTGTTGATGCCTGCTTGCTCTTTTTTATCCTTTGTTCTTTCACTTCTTTTCTTGTATTAGAAATCAAAATGACACAGAACTTTTAATATCAGATAACTCAAATACATACTTGTTGTTATGTAAGAATGAGATATTTAATATATAGAATCATTTTTTGTACTTTACTGAATTTGACATCAGTGATCTTGTCTTTGATGTTTACTGTCATTTTGAGTGAATAATTTGCTTAATCTTTTCAGGTGGCTGTGCTGCTAATGGATACCCAGGGTGCTTTTGACAGCCAGTCAACTATTAAAGACTGCGCCACAGTGTTTGCTCTGAGCACTATGACTAGCTCTGTCCAGGTGAGGCACAGGGTGACATGGTGTGCTCATTTTACACAACCCCAGTATCTTTGCCTGGCCTTAGATGCCTTTTAATTGAAGGAAAAAAGGAATAACACTTAAAAGATTAATAAGTTCTTTTCCACTGGTCACACAGACACCTCTTTGCAGGCTCTTTTTGCCTGCACGGTGAGGCTGTCGACCATGGTTGGAGGTTTGGCAGTGATTTCCACGAAGAAATAGACCAAGAGCTGAGAGCTGTCTTGCTCTTCATCACAAAATCTTTTTCCTTTTTTTAAGGAAAATTATGAAACCCGTGGGGCACTGGATGTGGAGAGTAGATTATGTTTTAGGCCGCTAACCACACACTTGGAAGGCTGTTTATCTTCTTAATGTCTCTAACCGGTGATACTTAATTATGTAAACTAATGGTGGTAGAGACAGACACAAGAATGAATTCCTATTTAACCTAAAAAGCCTTAGTGGTGGCGTACTGGTTACGAGTTGGGCTGTGATCTGCAAAGGCTTCGGTTCAAAACCACCAGCTGCTCCCCAGGAGAAACACGGGTGCTTTCAGAAACTTACAGGGGAAGGTTCTACCCTGTCTTAAAGGGTTGCTATGAGTTGGCACCGACTCGAAGGCAGTGAGTTTGTTTTGGGGTTTTCTTTGTGGCTTTGTCATAAAGTAGGATTTATAGCACCTGTTAATGTTTTTTCACAGAATTCACTTTGTTCTGTGCCCTTCTAGTCTCCTTAAGTGAGGCTATCTCTGAGAGGACTTCAAAAAGTTTGTAGAAAAATTCAATTATCTTTTAGTTCCATTTTTCCATGAACTTTGTGAAGCCCACTTGTTTCTGTATAATTTAGAATGATTTAAGGAATTAAATCACCACGTGTCATTTTATTTCTTTACTTGCTCTTTTCTGAGGTTGATACTTCTCTGCCCGAAAGTGAATTCTTGTAGTACTGGTGATGTGGAATTAGAACCAATTAAAACACACACTCCAAGGGGAGGGGGGGAGAGGAGAAGAGAGATTAGTTACTGCCTTTTGAGGAGTGGTTTCACACAGTTGTAAGGACTAACATGTTCATAATCTGTCCAGTGGTAGGCTGTACATTCTGGCAGCCCCAAACAGTCTGGAGGCACAATTCTTCTGGATTGGAAACTCCAGTTTTTGTTCTTCAGGCTTTCAGCTAGCTTGCATCCGGGCAATGCTCACTGTGGAGATCGCTCTACGTATAGTCAATAGTCTACTTAAATGGTAATCACACGTAAATATCTTCATAGCAACCTTTGGGTGAATAGTTGACTAAAAACTTGGACACCATAGGCTACTCAGGTTGACACATAAGATTAACCACCACAGAACATCAAGGAGTATAATTGAAAATACTAATAAATAAAGAAATGCGAGCCTCTCAAGGTAGGACTTTTCCTATGTTGACTGCAGCTTGGGAGTGATGATATCAGTGAGTCTTGTGAAATGTTTAAAAAAAAGGCCACATTAATCTGTAAACTCCCAGTTCCCTCCTTCCTCAAGTTGAAGTCTATCATTGTGGAAAGAAGGTTGGGGTATTAATTTGAGCTAAAGGATTTCCCCCCCCTTTGGCTTCTATTATAACAGTTGGGGAGATAACTATTTGCTCTTTTTCTCTTTAAGCCCAGAACTCATGATGCTATTGGAGCCCCTCAAAGTCACCCTTCTTTTCTTTTCTTGTTGAGTTCTGGGCACCCCCCACCCCTCCCCCCATGTTGTAGTAGGACACAGCTGCTGATCTCTGTTGTTACATCCTGCCCTGCAGGCTATCTGGCTGTAGTATTGTTGGACCAGCCTTAAATTTAGGAAAGAATCCTAAAATTCATCCTTTGGTCTCCTCTTGTTTATTCAATTTTTTGATAGTAGAAAGCACCCTCACGTAAGTAACATAGTCACTTGTTTATATATGAGATGCCTGTCTCACGTGCTGCTGCTGGCAGTCAGAATTGAGATTAAATATGGTAATATATAAGAAATGGCTCTGTGAATTGTGATGGACCAAGAAGATAAAAGCCATTACTGCTTTCTTCTTGAACTTGGAGGCTAAGTTTCTCTCCTTACCAAAAATCTCTAACAGGCTGGTAGATCAATGACATTGATTCTTTTTCCATTTATTCTTTCAACAAATATTAAGCACCCATCACACATGAGGCAGGCAGCATGCTAACGCCCTTCTCACTTTGCTATTTGTAACCTGACCCTCATAGGGAAGGGATCTGCACATCTTGTCTTGATCTCTAGAGTTCAGCTAGATTATCACTCATTCGGTGTTAGAACGAATTGTTCTACCTTTAGTCCCCCAAAGCTACTGTCACCCAGTTGAGTTCTACTCATAATGAACCAATGGGACCTTTTAGAACTGTCCCCTTGGATTTCCGAGACTGTGAGTCTTATGGGAGCAGACAGCATCCCATCTTTCTTCTGCAGAGCTGTAGCTAGTGCTTTTAAAAAGTCAGCTGACCTTACAATTGGTCCACACAGGGCTTATCCTTTTCTTGTTTGGGGTAGCCCTGTTTACGCAGTTATACGCTATTTCGTGGCAGAGGAAACAGGAGGCTGTTCACCCATTTCTGCCTCGGTCACCTGGTGAATGGATGGTCCCACAGTTCCCCATCCATAACGATCGCTAGCCCTCCATTGTCTGCTTTAGTCCAAGTGCCTGAAAAAACCTTCTGGAATAGGGCAAGAGCGCCACCTGCTGTTATTCTTTCGGCTACCACAGGCGGCAGACAACATTTTCTGGCGTGTTTTTTTAGGCTGATAGGCTTCCTTCATTAAAAAGAAAATGATATAACTGAACCATAACTTATACACTGAAGGTATCAGGGATCAGTTTATATTTGTATCTTTTATCGCTGCAGGCCTTTTCTCCTTCACATTCACTGACTTGGGAAAATGAGTGTAGAAGCAATTTCTACCTCGAGAAAGAACGTGTCATAACATTAAAGAAACTTCCTAGACATACACTTGATACCTATGCCTGCTATTTTCTAGGCCTTACATGCATAGAGTCATGATTTTCTACATTGTGAACAACCCCTCTCCTCTCTTAGTCTTTGATCCTGAATGTTGTTAAAGGTAAAATGAGAAAATCCTTCCCATGTGCGACTGGTTAAAATACCAACGTAGTAATTCCTTTGTGCCCTCATTTCCTTAAGTATAATTATACACAATCTCTGTATTCAAAATAAACACTGATAAGCAAAATATAATTTCTTTTAACAGATATATAATTTGTCCCAGAATATTCAAGAAGATGACCTTCAACACTTGCAAGTATGTTTGTCTCAATATTATATGCCAAAGCATTCAAATTGAATTCCTACCTTACGGAGAAATTATACCTAGAAGCCTGTAGTGCTCTAATAAGACCGATTGTTACATGTTTTTTTTTAAATTGTTTGTTACGTGGTTTTAAATAAGATGCATTTCACTATACACTCAGTGTTAAGAAAATCATCTAGTTGGTTTTTAAATGCTTTTATAGACTGATATAGGGTAGTACTGAAAATGTGTTTTAAAATTGTCTTTGGGTTAACTATTTTAAATAATTTGATTTCATAGTTATTTACAGAGTACGGCAGGCTTGCAATGGAAGAAATATATCAGAAACCATTTCAGGTAAATAAGTATTTTATCTTTTCCCCTCGAGATTACCTATTAAAATTTGTCACGCAACCTCATCTTAATAAACAGTTGTTTTACAGCCTCATGTTGTAATGTTGGAGACACTGTATGAGGATAGTAACCCAGCCACCTCTGGTGACGAATGTAGTGCAGTTGAAACTGGTAATGTCATCACCAGCTGAGCACCAGGCGAACTGCTAGACAATGAGGCAGATGAATCTAAATGGATTCTTACTTAGTTTTACTGTGATTAGTGCGATATTATTTTTCTTAACTAGATGTTGTTTAATTTTAAGATGAAAGAGAGTGGAGAATTGAAGACAGGCATGCCAAAGTCCTTACACATGCTAAGCTGCTGTTAAATACTATAAATTTTTTGCGTGTGGTGTAATTTGAAGCTATATAAAAACAAAACACAAAACCCCACAACCTCTAGGTTGACGTTGACTCAGAGCAGCCCCAAGGACAGAGGAGAACGGCTCCAAAGGCCTCCAAGGCTGAGTCTGCCGATGAGATCGCAGCAGCTGTCTCCAGGAGCGACTGGTGGATTTGAATTGTCTTTTTGCTTAACAGCTGAGCAGTTAACCACAGGGTTAATTAGTTAGTCCTGTTCTTTCTTCTGGTTTTGTACCATAGTGTATGATATCTTTTGTGGATCCCCAAGCCCACTTCTGTTTTTTTATTCCTTTTATGTAGATTAAAACTCCCACCATCTAATTTCAGATAGCTTATTTTTTGAAGGAAGTGCAAATTATATGTTAACATTTGTGCCATTTGGTCGCTTGCCCTGATAGGGTGAATGGCTGCCCTTTGCTTTATCTGTGTGTAAAGTTCTCCTGTATGGTAGCATCACTGGTGGTGACTGTTAGCATGGTTTCTGCCCCACTCTCTCTCTCTGCCTGGCTCACTCGATCACTTATTAACTACTTAGGTAGGCCTGCAGTCTGTGTATACCAGGGGTAGGGAACTATTTTTCTAGCAAGGGCAATTTTGGATATTTATAACATCACTTGAGGGCCCTACTAGTCAAACATTTAACTCACTTACCCACAATGTGGTGACTGCAACAGCTTCTCTTTGGTGAAGGGTTTGATATTACCAGCATCTATTGACGATTTTGAGGGCCTCATACGGCCCTTGGACCAGGCTTTCCCACCCCTGGTGTACAGGGATGAAGTAGACTGTTTAGATTATACTAATATTTCTTAATTGGGGGTGCATTTCTCCACACAAAAGAACAATGGAGATATTTTTATTGTTACAGCTGGAAGAGAGGGCTTGTGATTGGCATCTGGTTCTGAAAGGCCAAAAATGTTGTCAAACACCCTCCAATCCGCAGGACAGTCACTTACAAATATCCATTCTCTGGCCCCAAACGAGAATAGTGCTGAGGGTGAGAAACCCAAGGATGGATGAATAAAAAGCCTGTGGAAAGGGCCACAGTGACACCAAATCTGTAATCAGTCTAAAATTAGTTCTCTGGGGTTTGATATTCAAGTTATATGATCTTGATTTCAAAATTATAGTGAATATGCCACAATATGACTTATTCTCTTAAAACTTATTCCCTGTGGTGAATCCCGATTGAAACTTGGCAAAGTTTTAAGTGGAGGTGATGACTTGGTCTGGGGCTGGGATGTTGTTGATTTAGGTAGCTTCTTGACATGGGAGACCTGAGTAGTGCTAACCAAGTGGCCTAGTACTTTTGCTAATGATTATATAGGTAGTAAGAGAGGCTTTAGTTGTTAAAATAGTGATTTTTCATGGATATGTAAGAAATTGTTTATACTTTTGGTTTGTGTATAGACATTGATGTTTTTGGTTCGAGATTGGAGTTATCCTTATGAACATTCCTATGGTTTGGAAGGTGGAAAACAATTCCTGGAGAAGAGATTGCAGGTAAGCCCCTGTTTGCTAAAGAGAAAAGCGTACGCCCCAAGCGAGGTGAAGGGGTGGATTTCCTGAGCTGCTTCCTGGATTATTAGTTCCCATGTTTCACGCTAATAAATTATTCCAGGTTATCACAAGTTGCTCTGTACATAATGAAAATGGTTTCTCGAATCACAATAAAAAAGATACTTTCTCCAGAACCAGCTGCCTCTCAGTAAATCCATATGGACAAATATTCAAAGGATAATCATTTGAAAGGAACCTACTATTTGACTACCTGCCCAGATTGCTTACTTGTCTTTCTTGGCCCAGCTGAGCTTATGAACATTTGGGACAGGCTGGACATTGTGCCCAGATGATGTGAAAACTGCTGTCAGTGGAATGCTGTCTCACAGCTTAAAGAGCTAGAAAGGAGATCTTAAACATCTCTTTATATGTTAAGAAACTAGAATGTGTCCTCTGATGGG